GCAAACCCTCGGCAGCCGCAGCGCTGCTCATTGTTCGTGCGACTTGTAGTTTAGCTTCATCATCTGCACTTGGTGGTCGGTAACTTGCTTAACTCGGTTTGGCTTGTGGCCCCTTCGTCTGTCGGCTCTGCCATCTCCGTTTCCGTTCGTTTTATTCGTCATGACTGTAAGTCGGTAGGGAACTGAATTCAATGTTCTTGTTGTTACGTTTGTTGTATAAGTAGCTCATCTGCGGCTGAGCGCGTTTTATTTGTTTCAAATTGAGTTATGCCTAATGAAAATCAAATAAGCCGCAATCCAGCCGGAAATGCCGGTCGTGGCTGCCGCTTCGGCTTGATACGCTTCCTATCCACTTCAGTTAGTCTTGTCTGCCGTTGTGAATTTCTATTAGCCACGTTTTCACAATATCCACACCCATGCTGTGTAAATAATATCACGTGTCTACAAACTTCAACTTTTAAGCCGCAAACTGAAAATGCCATTGGAAATGAGCTGGAAATCAATTAAAACTGTCTGCATCAAGCTGAAAACTGCGCGCATTAAGTATACGCCGCATATGCCGCACAAATTTAACATTTGATCGCCTTGCCATTTGCCCCATGCCCGCCGTTTACACACTTCATTTGTACTTATTTTAGTTGCCTTCTGCGGCAAGTGGCGGCTTGTTGCCAAAGGGAAGGCCAATGAAAACACTAGTCAAATTGCTCGCTACACAGTCGAGAGAGTTCTGTTTATGAGTCGGGCCCCGGACACGTTAAGTGCAAGTGTGGAAAATTATTTAATGACTTTTCTGAATTTGAAACGGAATATGTGAGTGCGCTGCGGCAAGTATCATGATGATGAGGCCAAATATTTGCATACACAAACTTGTGAGTGCCAAGTGGTTGAGCGTTGATAGTCAGCTGCTTTGCCACTGGCAAAAGGCAAGTCATTTAACACAACCTGAAATTACCCCCTGCGCTTGTGCGTTGCGCATTTTTCTACAGCTCTATTAATTATTTATGCGTCTTGCAAGTGCCGTGAGGGCAACACACTCGGCCACTTGGCTTCTTGGCCAACGACGCCTAATGAAGCCACACTCCAGCTTCACACGATGAGGACCGTTTGCTGCTGCTACTGCTGCTACTGCTCCCGTTGAACGACCATGTCGTCATCGTCATCGCCAACATCAGCATTAATTTGTTCAGGCGACACTTACTAGACAGCTGAGAGGCAGCTCCAACAGCAGCTCCAGCACATAATTTGTAATTAATGACCAGTTAAAGAGCAACCTTGAGGGGCAGCAAGAGACTTGGCACGACTGCGATTTACAGCGACAAACGGCTGACAGCCAAACGCTGATTTATGGCCACAGACCGCAAAATTTATATGCCATCACAGAAGTGGCGATGCGAGCCGACTTTCCTGCTGATTCGCAACCATCTGCGGCGCCTGCTTGTCTTTACTTGCAATCCATATTCAATATGGGCTCCGTCTGCTTGAGCATATCGGAATTGTTACACGTTTTAGAAGAGACCTCGAAATACATATCAAGTGAACCATCCAATCTTTCAGGCAGCCTTAGCCTATGCCTGAGCTTTTCAAAATAAATCATATTAATCATAAAAATGTATTTAATAAATATGAATAATAATACAACATATATCGGAAGGTACTTCAATAAATCGTAGAAATCCTTAACGGGGTTTCATATCTATCAACTAATGGTAGATTCTGGAATAGCACCCGATCATTATTAATAACAATAATAGTATAGTGCATACAATCTGCTACTTCGAAATATCATTGGTTTCAGTTTTTATGTGTTTGCCTTCGCTTTTGTCACAGCATTTGAATGTGAAATGTCAGTCACATTCCGGCAGGGCTGGGCTTTATGCCCATCTCGTCTGAGTTCCTTCTCATAGATCAACTCTTTGCACCAGCACAAAGGCAAAGTAAAAAGAGGCCGTCGCCCAGCTCTGTTTCATTTTGTAGCTGCTTTTAGCCATGCAGTAGAGGCACAGTAGAGACCAACCAAAGCGCAATTTGTCTTCTGGCAGCAGCTTCGATAGTCAATGCTGAGCCCATTTACATTCGCTTTATTGCCATTGGCGTTTTTTCTTTTTGTGCAATGCTCTAAGACATATACGTTTTTCGCATGTTGTGACTTTGTCTGCGGCTGCTGTCAGTCGGCTGGCTTGGGCCGGCTTAGAGCAGGCTGAAAGCCTACAGATGCAATGCCTTTCAAATTGTAATTCCTCAATTATAAGAGTGTCTATGCAATGCCTATAAATATTTTTTTTCCTGACGACAGTTTAATACTAGCTTCAGTTGCTACGCTTTTTGATTAATGGCCGCCCTCGATTCAATGCACCGACAATCCCCTAAAAAAAAAGAGAGCGAGAGAAAGAGAGAGGGAGAGAGAGAGAGTCCTCACTAAGTGAAACAACACGAGAGATAACTAAAAACAGCTTTTACACTCATTATTTTGAGACCAACTTTAGCTAAGTGCAAAACAATTTACCCAAATACGCGTGCACACATTTCGCTACCACACACGCGCACACACACATACACACACGCACACACACTTAATTGTTCCCTCGACTAATGCCGCTTTGAGCCGCTCCCGCCGCACAGGGCGCTCTTTGTTGCTGTTGTTTTTTGTGGCATGCTTGTAAAATCAACCTAAAGCTGCTAAAAAACTTGCCTAGTTGCGCACTCCGCAACGTTGCACTTTATACCCTGTAATCGCAGACTATAATGGTGAGCAGGTCATAAAGCGCCGCTGAGGCGATAAGACGGGATCAGCCGAACAACAAGCAACATAAGAAGAGCAGTCCAATTTAATTTATTTACTTATATAAATACAAATTTTAATTTAATAAAGAGATTGCCTTCTCTAAGATGATCTCTACTTTTTGTAGCATGCAACTAATATGTACTTCCTGCTGCGCTTCTCTCAGTCGAGCACAATCCTTTTTAAAGCTTTTATTATGCTAATGCACGCCCCCTTGTCAAACCACCTGAAAAGCTGTGCCTCTTGTTCTGATTGGTGGCGACCACCCCGCGTTAACTGCATGCCTTTTGTTGTCCCACACACATATCTTGTTGGCAAAGAGGCGGTTGGGAGTAAACAGCTACAGCGGGGGCAACAGCTGAAAACTATGTCGGAGGCTTTGGCAAGTGCAAAGCATTTGTGTAATACTTTATAAGTAGCATTACCCCAAGCCAAAATCTACTCGCTCTGTGCGTAATAAGTAGTTGCAACAGTTTTAGCTCGCTAGCAAACCACAAAAGCGAGAAACAGCTTATTATCAGTTAAAAAGCTAATGAAATGGTGCTTTCACGTATATATATATATATATATGTATATAATATATATCGTTTTTCCGGCGTTATAATTTTGCATTAAGTAACCAATTATGCCTAATGAATATGATGAATGTTAATATATTAATGAGCCCTTTTCATTTTTAGTAAATAACTTAGGAATTCGTAATTTCATTTCAATGTATTTTACTTGAATAGACTAGATTTTGTATTAATTATTTAATTACACGCAGTATTTTGTGAACTGTTTGTGTTTAAGTTCCATCTAAGCTTTTCTAAGTGGTTCGACTTTAAGAGCATCTGCTAAAAGTGTAGGAAGACGGCGCCGTCTGCTCGTTTGGGTCGTTGCCTGAAAACTTCAGCAGACTGTAAAATAAAATAATTATGAGCTATAAATTTGCAGGCGCGTTAAAAATAAAAAAAAAAAAAAAACCTGTCGCGACGGAGGCTGCATTGATGGTGATAATGAGCCCGGTCGCGGCCAAAGGTTGTTGTAGGCAACCTGAGAGGCTGAGACAAGGCCCAAGCGAAAGGCGGGCAATTATGTTTGCAGAAAATGTACAGCATCTAATTGGATCGATGTGGATGGCATACAAAGCAGCAACAACAGCAGCAGCAGCAATAGCAGCTTTCAACAATTACTCGAAGGATTTGAACGATGGAACCATTAAAAATTCATAAGACTTTCGAATTGGCAGTCGGTCGAACTGGCTGGCTGGGCTAATTCAATGTAAGGCCTTTAGTGAGGCGACAAATCTACTGGCAATCGACCCCCGAGTCGCAATTGCGAGTGAGCAGTTCATATTTTATCGCGGCTGTCGTCTGGCTGCAGTAGCACGTGCCACAGTGGCACGATTAAATTTCACCAGTTGCCAAGAATTCCTTGCACAGATTTATTTCATTTACAGCACCCAGTGGCATCCTTTATATAATTTCAATTATCGCCTCTTGGCAACGTCATAAATCTGAGCAGCTGCCCGCTGCGCTGATTGCACGTGAAATATTCTTGGCCAGCGATTTAATTAAGTGCAAGCTCACGGCTATGAACTGTGTCTTTGTTCCTATCTGTTAATTTTCGCTCCTACGAGCACACAATGCAGCACAAATCGCGCAGTCTGGTCACAAATTTCGTTGACACTTCAGCGGGCACTTTGACTGCCGTGCCATGGCCAAAAAACATGCAGAAAAAACTGCATATTGTTGTCAGTAAACGGCAGTTGGACCAACCGAAAAGCTGTCTAAACTGTCAAATGCTTTTCTCAAAAGTCGTAACAAAAAAGTTATGCAACAGTCGCCGCAACTGCAAAAACCTGGTCGTGCCACAAAACAGCATCAACAGGAGCAACAACAGCAAACAGCAAACAAGTAAATGCTAACAAACGGAAACAAACAGCTGCATTAGCAGACGCAAATCAGCAGCAGCAGCAGCAGCAGCAGCAACAGCAACAACAGCAATGCTTGCCAAGTTAAACGCAGTTGAGTTACTCACTTAAAAATTCCAAGCACAAAACGGAAATATGCAGAAGCTAGGGTCAGAAACGGAAATGAACCGGCCGCCATGTTTGCACTGTGTAAAGCACCTTGTTGCTCCAGCAATACCCTATATGCAGGCACTTGCCAGCCATAAACAAACAACTTTTCCACGGTTGCGGGCAACATTTACTAGATATTCATATCATATATTCAAACCTTTTAGAACAGGGTATGCCTAAGTCGCAATTAATCAAACAATTGCTGCTGTCGTGCTTGGCATTTGCTTGGGCTGGCTCAAACGAATCGCTAACGAGCATGGCAAGGATGCAAAATGATGAGACGCTGACAGCCTTTAGCTGTAGACTTATGAAATTTACCTTGATTGCTAAGGTGGCATATGTCAGCTGGCAGGTGACAGGTGGAAGGCAGCAAGTGGCAGGTGGCGGTTAGCAGCTGGCAGCTCTCAACCTGCCTTTCTGACATGCAAGTGCTATCAAAACCGCTACAAATTAGAGATAATGAATAATTTCCCTAGCGGTAATTAAGTGCATCATTAAAACGTGCCTAATTGCCAGGAGCAGTTGCTACACTGCAACTGGCCGAAATTGAAGTTCCACAAGTGTGTGTGTGTGTGTGTGTGTGTGTGTGTGTGGGCGTGTTGCTCTAAACGGTTTTCCAATTACCAGCCAGCTAAGTCTCCGGCAAAAGTCATTTTCAGTTTGCATATCCGCAAACGTGGCGCACTAAAACAGCATAAGCAACCCGATTACGCCTGCCTGCGGATTTGTGAGCAGCCGCTCCGCTCTCTCAGCTATCCCCGTGCCACTTAGCTGCTGCAGCTGTAGATGCATGCAACCAAATTGACCTGCAGTCTGGCTATCGAATTTTTGCTTGGTTGTGGGCGAGGGAGGATGTGCGGTTTTAGCATGTGTGTGTGTGTGTGTGTGTGTGTGAGTACCATTTGATGTGTGTACAACACGTGTGTGCCGCCAGGCAAACAATCAGTGACCAGCTCCAGCCCAGGTCCAACAGTAAACCGCAAATTAGTTGCGCCGGTGTGGCAAGTGCAGCAGCCATTGATGCAGACGCTCCAGGAAAAGTACACAGCCGGCAATGGTGAATCCAAAGGCCAGCACAAAAAGTGCAGCGGAAATGTCATCCACAACAAGTGGATTGGGCGCCTTTTTGGGCACATAGCCGCTGGCCTGATTGAGGAGTATCTGGCCAGTTTTCTTATCCAAATACTTGTCAACGTTCTGCAGCGGCAAACTGGTTAACACTGAGCTAAGAGCGAGTATTTATTAGCTACCTCCAGTTCCCAGTGCACATAGAGACCTGACTCCTGACAGGCGCGTATGTGCCTGTTTAGCTGTGGCATCAGGGTCCAGCCACGTATGGACACAGCGCGCGTCCAGTCAAAGTAAATATCATCGTGCAGCACCTGATGAAAGACAATTAAATGCTCATCAATTTCTCCAAGTCAAATGAAGATCACCCACAATGCGATTCTCCACGGCCTCACGTGTCACATAGTTGCCGAAATTGAAGGCGCCGGAGACCAAACGCTCAATGCCCAGTCCATAGTTGGGTTGAAAGCTCGCATTGTACAAGTAGCTATAGTCGCGCACCTCAAAGTTATCGGCCAGTATCTGTTCCGTAAGCAAATGCGATTTTTCCACCGTGTGCAGCCAGACAATCGAGGGAGCCGCCCACTTCCATTGCGCCTGCGCCCACTTCCCAATCGTGTCCACAGGTGCGCCATATAGAGGCACAGTGAGTAGCGACTTTAGTTGGCCACTGTAAATGTTCTCCAGCGTAATAGTCGCACACAGCAGTGTGGCCAGAAAGAAGCGTGTAGCAAAGCGATCAAAGCTAAAATTAATTCAAAGAAACTAGCAAATATTGCTTATCTGAACAAACAAGAAAACCCACGTCAAGGGCGCCGATGGCTGCTGAATGAAGAGTGCATATATGTCTAGAGCCGACTTTTCCACATTTTCTGCATGCACAAATTGTCTCTGTCGTGAGTGCTTGGCCAACAAGTAGTTCGAGTACCTCAGTATATACAAAACCATGCTGCAGAGGAAAATCGTAGAAATCAACAGGAGCCAAGTGCCGCCATTGAAGGGCATAATATCGGTGAACCAGGCTTGCAGAGGACTACGGTTTCGATAAAGATATAACTTATATTAAGTGAAACCTTCGAGTTGTGAATAACTTACACAGGAGCCGGTCCCAAGATGGTCACCGCAGATCGGGCTATGGTATGCGAGGTCTCCGTAATGCCATTGTACCAATTGTATATACAGCCAATGGCCAATTCCACGCGCTGCTTATAAATATCGCCCAACATGCCGTCAGCGGTTTCGTTGTCATAGATGCTGCCCCAGTTATCAGCGCCATCTGTGAATGGCAAAATCCTAATAAATAAATTTTATATCATATTCCGACCAATTTTACTAAAGAGCTATATGTCGATTGTCAATAATATTACTCTCAAAATTTCGGAGTTGGGTAAAACCCGTTAGGAATAGTCAACAAATACATATTTATAGATGATGTTTCGACTGATTCTTGGTAAATATTTGCACGGTACATAATGGACTGAAAACCTAGTTTCCAAATAAAAGAATAAGCGAAATAGCGGACAGACGGACATGCTTTTTACCGACCCGCTTGATGATACTGATCAACAACAGATATTTTTTATGGGGACGTCTCCTTCTATAGCCTCTACAGGGTGTACAAAATTCTCAAACTCTCTCAAACTTTAAAAAACATATGTAAAAACGGGCGTACAACTTAATGTGAGCTTAAATTGAATTAAGACTTTACGCTTGTAAGGCCAGCATTTGTGGGGTATTTAGGATTATATACTTTATTCTTACAGGCCTCAACGCGCAGATGACAGTTGTGCACCTCACAGAAGGTCCTCATAATGTTTGCCTCGGAGCCGTCATAGGCAATTGTACGATTGGCCTTATGCGGGTTGATTGGATCCTCATTGCCGACACCAGCTGCCTGTTAAGTTGAGGGAGTTTATTAAGTTTGGGAGCAGCAGCGCCTAATTGGCGCCCATTGTTGGCCATTCAAGTGTCTCTTCTAATTTACTAAATGGCCTCGTAATGGTCGGGCACAATGTATGCCACGCCCACACACATGGACATCGACACTCTGCGCCAATTAAATGGAAACACGTAATTTAAATCAATGTTGTGCTAAAGCCGGCTATAAACAAAACCACATGCACATGCTTGCGGCCATGTGTGTGTGTGTGTGTGTGTGACACTTACTGTTGTTATTGGTATGAGTGTGTTTACAAATGTGCGAATGTCCTTAAGGCAAACAATTGAGTGCGAACAAAACTTTCAGCAAGTGACAACAAAGAATTTTTTACAAACAGTTTTGTTTGTGTTAGTTTGCACAGTGGTCAAAGTGTGCATAAAAGTTATATAAATAGCTAAATAAAGAAAGCACAGCGAATTTAAATTGATTCAATTAAAATTAAATTAAACTAGCTGATTTCTCTTTTTTAATGAAATCAACAAAACTTTAAGCAAGATCAACTCTCTTTTATGGAATAAATTCAGGAGTAAATTTGCATTAAAAATCATCTTAAATATATTAAGGCTACTAATAGTTTTATGACGTTATAGAATGCTCCCCACCGGACTTTTCGTAACAATTACTGACAAGCTGCGACTCACATACTAATAAAAATATACAACAAAATTAAATGGTTGAAGTTTTAGTTACCGAAATCGTAGTCCACAACAGGAAATAACTTTCTATCAGCAGACCAAGCAAATGCACCACACACAGACACAGCTCGGATCAGAATTGTTTAGATAGGGGGTAAGCGGGAAGGGCGAGAAGCAGCCGCCGGGCATTTATTCATGACCATTTCGCACAGGGCCCTAATGCGGCAAGGACACAACGATGTGGACAATGTGGTGAGCGAGGCTGGTGAGGACGACCAATTGGCTTTGCTTAATGCCGGCGTGCAAATCTCTACGACATTTGTGTGCGCTTTTGGGCGCGCCGACAACAACAGCAAGAACAACAACAATGACAATAAGCAAGAGACTGGTGGCAGCAACAACGATAAATATAAACTTAACCGGCAATTACTTACCACATAATTAGTAACTGTGTATGGCACATAAGTAATGGAGCCGAGGCGAAGCGTGCGCCGCTGCAGATTGAGCAGCTTGTTGGGATAAAGTTCGGCTCGGTTGGCAAAAGTTTCGTTCGGCAAGAATGCGTCCAAGAATATAGCATCCGAATTTCCACTGGCACCGACAAACTTTTGTGTCCACAGCTCCAAATTGATGTCGCGGTATGGGTGTGGCAAGCCGCCCCCGACACACCCGCCATTGCCACCAACAAATCCACCTACGTCTGCTCTGCCACATCCTTTATTTGCCTGCTTTTCTGGCCGCACCATCAGATGGTGTGGGTAGACTAAAGCGCATTACAACATGGGAACATTGTAGAACAAGCCAAAAGGACAACAACCAAATTAAGTTCCAGCCAATAACAACAAAAAAGTTTACAATTGAAGAAGGCGCCGTCAAGCGTGGAAATTATTGGCCAGTGCCAAAGTTGAAAGTTTGATCAACTGATGCGCCCCGTGGCTGTTTTTGCCACGTTTGTGTGCGATTGTATATGTATGTGTGTGTGTGTGTGTGTGTGTGTGTATGCGAGACAAAGTTTCGAGTTTGACTTCTTTTGTCAGTACCCCAAGGGAATCTCCGTCATGTCCACGTTTGATTGCCGACTAAATATAAAGACAGCAATTTTCACAATTGCTACAAAATTTGAAATGTTCTATTCGGAGATTAAACTAAGCCAAAAACGATTAGCGGAGAGCAATAAAAAAGGTTAAGATAACTGGACATCTGACCTTTTTCTTGTTCCATAAAATATCTCGGGATGGTGTTTCACAGTTTGAAAAGTCTAGTCTCTATATATAAAACTATTTGTCCTAACTGACTGACTGACTGGATAGCTGTTAGGGATAGAAAGCTTACATTTGATCATGGTCACGATCTGTAAACTGAAACGGGATTTCGGAAAATTGCAGCCGCAAATGTGAACGAACAGAAAATGGTTAAATGGAACTTTCTTTCCGATCGGCCCCTTACTCATTATCAAAGATCAACTTTATTTCTTATCTTTTCGAAAAATCCATTACGTGGAAATGTGTTTAAAAGATTTGGGTGGTAACATTTCAGATTCGAAATTATTTTCGCGGATCTTAATAAAAATGCATTTATGCTGTTTTCACACTTTTCGCAGCAAATGCAGGTAAAAGTTTGTATGCACGAAATGTTTTTTTTTCGACGTCGAGTTCAGTGTGCCTTAAATTTTCCACGTAAAGGCTATGTGGAATTGATGTTGACAAATTGTAACAAATAACTTAGACCGAGCAAGGCAGAAAAATACAACCTATGAAAGTTTACTTTAAACTTTAAATCTCATTTGAGCTCCAAGCGAGAATAAACATATAATTATTACGTCTACTAGTAGCAAAAGGCACGAGTTAAGTTCAGCTTTAAATTGACTTTGGTAAGATAACTGGAATTAATTTAAGATCTCTTGATTAGCTTTTTCACTTACATTGCAATATATCCATGCTCAAGAAATCCCTGGGTTCTTCATGCTCGCACAAAAACAAATACAGCTTATCCTTGAGTCTCACGTTGGCATTGCGCGTGGCAAAGTAACGTGCATGGAGAAAACGCGCCGTCTGCGGCAGCACTGTGATAAAGCCCTAGCAATATAAAGCGTATGGCACTTCCACTTTGAGGTAACAATTAAGTTCATTGAACGCACCTCAGTCACGCTGGCGTTAACGGCGCGCAGGACTTGCCATTCAATGGCATCCGGCTGGGACTCGTCGTCGGGTAGCTCGGCTACGTCGATCCACTGCAGCAACAGCGGCCGGCTGAGATTACGCAGGGCCAGTTGCAGTGCATCCAGGTACGCCAACTGCAGCTGCGTTGCAAACGTGCTATTGTGAACGATCAGCAGCGAGGAGAGTGGCGAAAAATATTGGCTCACTGCGGCAGATTCAAAGATGCAGAAAGTTAAACAGTCAGCGAACTGTGGCACAAGTTTACCAATAATCTGGATTAGCGTGGTCAGGTGAACTAACTGCTGAGCCAGCAACATCTTGAGGCGCTTTAGACAAGCTCTGCAGTAGTGTGGTCTTATATATAGTCGCATCTCTGCAAATTGCTGACCAATAATTGGCTGGCAAATTGAATTTAATGACACTCGAAGCTAAACTGGCGTTCATTTACCTTAGGCCATGTTTGCATTGGCATTAGCTTAATTAAAGATACACAATGCAGCGCAGCTCATATCAATATTGTTTAGTTAGGCCTTCCAGCCAACAAACAATGCCAATAAATAGGCAAGGGTTCGAGCTCTCAAGCCGCACTCAAATTAACCGGAAGTGCGTGCATCAAATGGCCCCATGTTGTGTTGTGTTGGGCCACATAAGTTGTTTACAGATTAAATATGAGCAGACCCATATATATTGAATATGCCTTACTTGCAATTTGACTTATTATCGAAATAGTACATAAACACATTGAATTATTCTTGCGGAAGTAACAGAGTGATTGAAAGTGAACACTTCAAGGGAGTTATATGAAAAGTTTAAGCATTAAATTGAGAGCAATGTGCTCTTGAAGAAACATGTCCTCTGCTTAAAACATTTATGTAGAAGCTAACGAATTGTGAGTGGAAAGAATTTGATTTACTTAGATAAAAAAGGATGAAAAGGTAATATTAATATTCTAATTATTAATAGAATCAGTATTATCGTTATTATTATTTTTATATTATTATTAAATTACAGAGCAACTGCAGACCAAACTAGGAACTGCAACAGAATTTCTCGCAAGTTATTATTTCAATATTAGTGCATTACCAATTAAGCCAACCAAACAAACAAGCCGGAGACAACCACAACATCAAACTCAACAGCAACAACAACTGCCGACTGCAAGACGGACAGCTAGCTTACATGCCCCCCCACATAACGCGAGCAGTTAACACATTGATTCTCATTAAGAATATGGATAACCCAGCCACGTGAGGGTCGAGCTCTGAAGCTGAGCCCAGACCGAGTACCAATTGAAACAATTCAATTGCTCGGTAAACGTGTGCGTGTATATGTGTGTGTAGCCTGCTCCCTATGCGTGTGACTATTCGCAACACCAGAACAGCTTAAAGGATTTACACAGGCAAACAAAAAAAAAACTCCAGCATGGAAGCGGAGCTTAAGAGGTGCCATTAGTTGGTCGAGAAGTCGTATTGACCATTTGACTGCACAGCAGGCGGCTATATTATTGTATATGCAACCTGCTGGGCAGACACACTTGCCCACGCACCCAGACACACATTTCGATGTTACCATTCCCATATCACTCTACAGGGGCACGCCCTGGACTGAGGGCGGAGTTGGCAATGCCAGGCCACGGACTGGCGTGCGGCAAACCAAAAATGTTGCGGCCAAGAGCCAGGACCAGACCAAAAAAAAAAATTTCAAAAATTAAGTATGCACTGTGCCAAGCGTCTGCCGACTAAATTAGTTAGTTGCTCTAAATAGGCAACATTCATTTGTAACTGTTTGCTAGCGTGTATATATTGATGTGAACATATGTGAGGGGTGAGCTCTTGTCTACGAATTTACACACCTTGCACACGCCAATATCGAGTAGCATTCGTATTTGGCCTCCAAAACGCCGCAGGCTGGCCAATAAACCGACCACAGACTGGATTCTGACTGCTGCAATATATGGCCTAAAGGGAGTAGCTGCCGCAGACTGCCGCTGACAACCCTTTTCATTTTCCCCGTGCTGAACATTTTTTTTCTCATCTTTGCTTTACATAAAACCTCGTTGCAAGTCTTTCTGGCATTCGCTTAAAGAAGATGAAGACTTTAATATATTGAACGTTTGTTTCATGTTCCATTAAATACATTTTTATTAGCTCGGTTGAATATCCGCTGACTTGTTAGCACGTTGTGTGTTTTATATATGATCTCAACTGTCGTTTGCATGCATTTATTTAATACTGATAAGTTTGAGGATGACCCCTAAAAACCCTGACGAAGGCCAAGAAAGTAAATAGGTCAAGGCTACTGTCAATTCTATTTACAAAATTGCCAGCTAAGAAGATACCTGACCTGAGCATCGCATCCAGACGCTCTTTGTTCGGTTTCCTGAATGACAGCCGGGTCACCTTGACAGCTAATCTACCGAGAACTACATCAATGTTTTTTGTTGTCACTCAATAAGAAACTTTGAAGGCCTTCTCGTTAGCAGCCGCTAGCACATATATTAATTCACTTTTAGCTATTTTGTGAGTTTTATTAACTTTCTGCAATATTTTTTATTCGTATAACCAATAACTGACACAGCATTGCAAAATTATTCAAAACAATCGCAGTCCATCACGCTCAGCAGAAGATTTATACAATGTGACAGATATCGCATGACATATGCATAACTGCGGACACATAATGCAAAAGACCACACACACACACACACGGGCAAAACAAAGCAATGCATAGAAATGCGACAGTATTTACATTTTAATTAGCTGGCACGTCAAATTTTCGCACAGCCAACGGCACGTATTGCCGTTTGTCCTTGAAAGGACATCATGAATCCTCTGCAGTATGCATAAAACAAAATAAATTGCAAGGCCTAAGCATTTTGTTACAATATTTCCCCCACAATTATGCAGATTGGCTGCGCAAATGATGAGAAACAGCGGTTGGGAAACCAGAGGGATGTACACATGAAGCAATTTCTGTAGCAGCGGGTCGTATACGTAATATGCGCAAATATTTGCCAGCTGAAGCCGTACGTCATATTTGCTTGACTGTCCGAATGCAGTTGTGTGTATTTGTTCACTTCACCTTTTTTTGGACATTGCAAATTGCATTTTTGCCATGATTTGTAAATAGACTTGAGTATTACGGGTATTTGTGAGCTGTATTTTTGTTTGTAGTTTTTTCGCTGGTTTTGTAGTTACTCGCATTTTGTGGTTCGGATGCAAACACTCGAGCGTGTAAATGTACACACAGAGAAATAAAACTAAAATAGAAACACATTTCATTTTCGTAAGTTCTGCTAAAGGAATATGCCACACACAAACACACACACGCACACACACACTTATGTGCATAAGTAGCACACTGGCTTAAGTTGAATTGAAAAGTAAGTAATTTATGTGGATATTTGACTCGGACATGTGCAAAAATAACTGACCTCCTTACGGCATAAAAAGCTTGGTCCTAAGCCATTGGATTTATCTAACCATATTTGGTAGGTGTCAAATTTTGTTTTAAGAAGCAATTAAAAAATAATATGGCAAATCTGGATTTGAGCTAAAACCTAGCGTCATAAATGTATAAACCTAAGTTCAGAAGCCGCACCCCAAAACAGGAGTCCGATTTAAGCCGTATGCAAAACCACTGAACATTTTTTCAGAGCCTTGCAGTCTTGTTTGTAACCACGGTGCAACGACTTGAAATACGCAGCAAACATTGCTGCAACAAGAAGTGGCAGCAAGCCAGACAACAACTACAGCAAAGTGAAAATAAACTTGGCGATAAACCAGCAAAATCGATTGGAAATTTTGTTTTTAACGAAATTGCAGCTTAAAGCATCAATGCAATGCAGCTCGCTTGCTGCTGTCGTTCCCGGGGGCCAAAGGAGCGGAGGCTGCTACTTGAAGTCTTGGCGCTAAGCTTTGAACGTGACGCTCATGAAATGCAACATAATTTTGGTGATTATGACACAGTCTCAGTTGGACATTTTGGACTGGCAACGAAATGTGGCATTTGGATATTGTTGATAATCGCCAGTCGCTCAAGTGTGCAATTCAGCTGAAGTTGCAAGTTGAAGCACCAACAGCAGCAGCTTAAATACTAACAATGCAATGGCCCTGCGGGCTTTGGGAGCGGTCAAGTGTTTTGCACCGGAAACGAAGTGTAATGAAAGCGTGTAAAGTGCAAATCGAAAATGCAATACAAAATGCTCGTGCTAGCTGGCAGGCATTTGTAATGCTGTTTCCTCTAACTACCCACTGTCTGCCTAGCTCTCTCTCTTGGTCCCTCTCTCCCTCTCTCCCTCTCTCTCTGCCTTCCTCTAAATTACCAATGTCGACACGGCGATAAGGCGAGTGAAAGGAGGTGATGCGAGACGCTCACATCCTGCCGTTAACTATGCAGCACCAAATTGCAGTTAAACGTGGCCAAAACGAAGGAAATGTTTCGTGTTGCAAGACACTGGCTGCTACCTTTTAGGCGTTCGAAATGGTTTTCTGTTTGCTAAATTATTTCTTTAATTAAATGCTTTTAATTTTAATGTTGTCAAGCATTAAATGGCTGACTTATCGCTGATACGTGCACAAAAATCACAAAACTAAAACAACAACAATTTCCGTTTTGCCACTGAACATTTAAAATTTTAAATAGAGAAAAATAAAAGTTACATATTCACTATTAAATAGTTTGACAACAAAGTTGCATTCATTTTGTTGTTCATTTTTTAGCTGCCCAAAGCAATGTGTTTTTTTAATGTTTTTTTTTTTTTTTATATGTGGATAGGTATTATCTGTCTAAACCGCATTTTCATATATTATTTACATATGCACTGCAATTGCAAAACCACCAACAAATTAAATATTGATAATTGTTTTTGCGTATCGCTTTTTCTACATGTTCCGATGAGCGTCGAGCTGATTAATATATATAAATGCAACCACTATTATTTATTTAAATTCGTTTTTTTTTTTGAAACTCTGAATACTGATATACTGTAATTTACTTTGCGCACGTGTATTATTTATTTTATTTATCAAGTCATGTCATAACTTACCTCAAGCTATTAATAATAAATACTAGCGGGTATTGCCTGGATCTTTCCGCCCGTTGGATAACAACAATATTTAAATTAAACCCCATTTTATATTAGATTAAAAATAAATAGATTAATATATTAATGTAAATTTTTATATGTAAGTATCTTTGGTATATAATATCTGATTTCCGAGTAATTATTTGTGTTAAGAACATCTTTGGCACGCCAAAGATCTAATACTAAAGGGGACATTTCCCTTTTGCAGATATTTGATGATATTGGAAAACA